TTGGATTTCCCTGGTACCCACTTAATCTGGGTGCAGTGGCAAACACTTTACTAAATGATTCATTTCCCGAGTCTGCTACAATTTACTTTTTACATTGGAAAGTATACTTGACCCATAATTCTGTTATTTCCAATGACAATAGCTAAATACTATCTATTGATCATTCCTAAATATGACACAAAATTCAGCTTCTTTTTCTCCCATTTATTTTTACTCTAATTTTATTGGCATTATCTGGAGTTGCATCCCGGGTATAATGAATTGCTTCTTGACATTTGATTCTACCATTTTTTTATTTTTGAGACAGGTCTCATGTAGTTGAGGCTGGCCTGGTGAGGCTGTGCTTGAACTCCTAATCCTCTTGCTTCAACTTCCCAAGTCCTGAGATAACAGGCATATGCCGGCATACCTGGCTCTGCATCTAGTCTCTAATCCTAGTTCTACCAATCATTTGGGTTTTAGTAACACACTAGCAGATTTTAATGTTCATTCTGGGCATGGTGACACAGGCAGAGGCAGGTGAATCTTTGTGAGTTAGAGGTCAGCTTGATCTACATCATGAGTTCTAGGCCAATTAGGGCAGGCGTGCATACTGAGAGCCATATGAATAATGAATAAATGAATAAATAGGGCCTGGAAAAAAAATATTTTACTTATCATTTTTATGTACCTGCATGTATTTAGGTACACCCCTGTCATGGAATGCCTGGAGAAGTCAGAAGAGGGCATCATGGAGTTACAAAAAAATAAAAATAAATGAATAAATGAATAAATAGGGCCTGGAAAAAAAAATATTTTACTTATCATTTTTATGTACCTGCATGTATTTAGGTACACCCCTGTCATGGAATGCCTGGAGAAGTCAGAAGAGGGCATCAGATACCCTGGAGTTACAGACAGTTGTTAGCTGCCATGTGGGTGCTGGGATTCGAACCCAGCTCTTCTACAAGAACAGCCAGTGCTCTTAACAGCTGAGCCATCTCTCCAGCCCCCAAAGCTCCTTCTTATCCTTATGCCCTTGCCATCCATTTCTTCTTACAGGCAGCCAATGATGTTAGTGGTTTTGAACATCTTGTGTGGATGTGCAAGAAAACAATGCATATAACACACATCTCTTCTCTCCTTCCAGCCTTGTAGGTGTGGCAATATTTTAAGTATACCATTCTATGATGTTTTTATCATTTAAAGATTTTTTTTCATATGAGGTTAGTACAATTTCTTTAGCAAGTCCCCCTCTTGATAGGCATTTAGGTTAATTATTTTCAATTGAGAAGCTTTCTTCATCTGATCTACATCGTGTTAGATGTATTTCCCCAGGTTTCACACTAGCTATTTATAGCAGCCTGCACAAGTTGATATATAGTAAAGCACTCCTTTGCATGGAAGAGAAGGTATAAATAAAAGTGTCCTGAGTTCTCCAAAGGAAAGCTGTATACAGAATTTCAAAATTTCAGAGCTAAGAGGGCTGTAAGAGAACTAAGGCAGAAATTCCTTGCTGTGATTTATTTATTGAGACAGGGTCTCCTTATAGGACCAGCTGGCCTGGAACTTCTGTGTAGACCAGGCTGGCCTCAGTCTCACAGAGATCTGCATTCCTCTGCCTCCTGAGTGCTGGGATTGAAGATGTGCACCACCATACCTGGTGTTGATTTCTTTGTTTTGTTTATAAAAGTTGTTTTATTCATATGTCATTAGCCTTCAATGACTGTGGTAGCTACAGAACTCTACAGAAATTCTTATTTCTTTTTAATCAATGCTTGAGACCTGATCATATAAACATACCTTGCTATCTGAAATTGATTTTTTTCTTTTAAAAATTATTTTTTATTGAATTTTTGCAATTTTCATACAGTATAGTTTGATGGTATTTAGATTCTCCCCCCTCCACACCTCCTCTCTGCTGTTGATTTTTTTAAGATTCAAGTGAAAGCTAAGGATTGTCTCCTCAAAAAAGGTGTACATAGAAAATTTTTCATATACATTTTGGGTATATATACCCCTTAAAATTCACTTGTAGGCTGGGCATGGTGGCGCATGCCTTTAATCCCAGCACTTGGGAGGCAGAGGCAGGTGGATCCCTGTGAGTTCAAGGCCAGCCTGGTCTACATAGTGAGTTCCAGGACAGCTGGGGCTACAGGGAGACCCTGTTTCAAAAAGACCCCCCAAAAAAAATTTCACTTGTAGATTCTACATTAAGAACCTCTTGGGGGATGGGGAGCTGGGGCCTGTGAGATGACTCAGCAGGTAAAGGTGCTTGCTGCTAACCTGATGATCTGAATTTGATTCCTGGGAAGCACATGATAGAGAGAATTTAGGTTTTTTAAAAATTTTTTTTTTAATTTTATGTGTATGAATGTATTACCTGCATGTAAGTGAGTGCACCCATGTCATGCAATGCTGCAGAGGTCAGAAGAGGGCTTCGGATTCCCCTGGAACTGGAGTTAAGGACGGTTCATAGCCGCCATGTGGGTACTAGGAATCAAACCCAGGTCCTCTGCAAAAGCACTCAGTGCTCTTAACTGCTGAGCTATCTCTCCAGCCCCTATTTTTTAGTTTTTAAAAGAACCTCTTGGGCTAGGGGCTATCTCAGTTGACAGAGTGCTTGCCTAGTATGTTCAAAACCCAGAACTGAGGGACTGTTGAGATGACTCGGTGGTTAAGAACACTGGCTGCTCTTATAGAGTACTTGGGCTTGGTTCCCAATACCCACGGTAACTAACAAAACCCAGCACTGAATAAAACTAGGTTTGGTGGCACATTCCTTAATCTCAGCACTGAGGAGGAAGCACTACATAGTTCAAGGCCACCCTAGGATACACAAGACCCTGTCTCAAAAAACAAATGGGTGGGCAAGAGAGTTCATTGAGTAAAAGCAGTTGCTATACAAGCCTGATGACCTGAGTTTAGTTCTAAGAACCCACATAGACATGGAAGGAGAGAAATGACTCCACAAAGTTATCTTTTGACCTCCAAACATGTGCTATGGCATACACACACTGACACACATTAACACACACACACACACACACACACACACTGACACACATCAACACACACACACATACACACACACATATCAATAAATAATTTAAATAATTTCAAACAGACCCTCTTAGGCCAGAGATGTAGCCCAGTGATAGAGCACATGCTTAGCATGCACAAGGGTTGAATAACCAGCAACAAAACAACAACAGAAATCTTTTGATCTAGCATAACTCTGTCAACTTACAAATTGAGAAACAGGCCTAGAGATGGGAGGTGAGTCTCAAAGCAAGATAATCGCAGGCCGGGCGAGGTGGCACATACCTTTAGTCCCAGCACTTGAGAAGCAGAGGCAGGTAGACCCCAGAAATACAGGCCAGCCTGGTCTACATAGTGAGTTCCAGGCCAGCTGTGGCTAAAGGGAGACCCTGTCTCAAAAAGACAAAAAAAAAAAAAAAAAAAAAAAAAAAAAAAAAGAGCAAAAACAACCAAATTACAAACTAACAAGGTAATGGCAGAAGGCAGTCCCACATACTCTTGTTAAAATAATGCAGCACTCCAGCAGTATTCTTTCTGGTACTGGCCAGTGTCATAGCCCACTGGTGAGCAAAGCTTCCCATTCCTTCTCAAGAGAACTTTAGCTTCTAGGAAGGGTAACCTGAGGGAAAAACAGTGAATAATTTTATTTGAAAAATTGATTTAAATATATATATATAAACACACTATATCAAATTTCTTATATAGTGCTTTGATTGATTTTATTTTTATTTTTATTTTCTATTCAGCCCAGGAAGAAGAAAGCAAAAGTGGACATAAGAGCCATGAATCTGGGGACAGATTATGAATACGGGGTTTTAAATATCCACCTAACTGCCTATGACATGACTCAGGCAGAAAGTTATGCTCAGTATGTTCACAACCTCTGCAATCAACTCTCCATCCAAGTGGAGGAAAGGTAGGAAGGATGCTTTGTACAGGATGCTCTTCATGTGCCGTTAAGTCAGGTTTTTGAAAAAATACTGCATATGTAGTAAAAGTCAACTCCTTTTAGGTACATAGTCTGCCACAATCAAAGTATAGAACAGCTCCATTAGCCTCAAAAACTCCCTGCTGCCCTGATACAGTCTCCTTCCCCTCCCCCATCAAGTCCCTGCCTGCCACTAACATGTTAGTATCTGTTCCTGGTTTTTTAATTAATTAATTAATTAATTAATTTATTTATTTATTTATGGGGGCACCCACAAATGCATGTCACAGTGCATGAATGGAGGTCAGAGATCAGCTTTTGAATTGGTTTTCTTGTTCCACCATGTGGGTCCCAGAGACTGAATTTAGGCTTGGTGGCAAGTGTCTTTACCTGCTGAGCTATCTCACTGATCCCTGACCCTGCTGGGTTTTTTGTTTTGTTTCATTTTATCTTTTGTTTGCTTGTTTGGCTTTTTCAGGTTTGGGGTGTTTTTTATTGTTGTTGTTGGTGGTGGTTTTTTTGAGACTGGGTCTCACTATGTAGCTCTAGTAGCCCTAGAACTTGCTATGTACACCAGATCCACCTCAAACCCAAAGAGATTTGCCTGCCTCTGCCTTCTGAGTGCTGCGATTAAAGGCATGTACCACCACATTGGGCTGACCTGGTTGTTTTTTGTGTTTTTATTTTGAATTAACTTATTTTTTTTGAGACAGGGTATCCCTGTAGCCCCAGCTGGCCTGGAACTTGCTATATAGACGAGGCTGGCCTCGATCTCATAGAGATCTGCCTGTCTCTGTCTCCTGAGCGCTGGGATTAAAGGCATGTGCGCCCACACCTAGCCTATGACCCTATTGTTTTAACTTCTTCAGAATATCAGGTAAAGGGAATCACACAGTATGTCTGGCTTTTTTTACTGTTTGCTATTCATCCATGTTTTTTACAAGTTGTTTTTTAAACTCAGTAAAAGACACATAAAGCTAATCATCTTTACTAGTTTGTGTGTGTGTGTGTGTGTGTGTGTGTGTGTGTGTCTGTGTGTGTGAGGGTGTATGTGGAGGTCAGTGTACAATTTGCAGGAGTCAGTTCTCTGTGTCCTCCATGTTCCAAGGACTCAGGTCATTGGGCTTGGCAGCAAGCACCTTTATCTGCTCAGTCATCTTGCTAGCCTCATCCTAACTGTTATTAAATGTACATTCGTAATGCAGTTGTTACCATATTTATAACTTTTTCAGTTTGTAAAACTGAAATTCTATATTTATGAATGCACATTACGAATGAGACTAGCAAGATGACTGAGCAGATAAAGGTACTTACTTGCTGCTAAGCCTAAGTCCTCAGGACATGGAGGACACAGAGAACTGACTCCTGCAGGTTGTACAATGATTCCCCTTTCCCTTTCCCCTTATCTCTAAACCTTCTTTTTTGTCTTTAATTTCAATTACTCCATGCAAGTAGAATTATAAAGTATTATATTTTGTGACTGATTTATGTTATTAAGCATAATGTCTTCAAAATTCATCTATGTTATAACATATATTAGTTTCCTTCCTTTTTAGGACTGAATAATATTCCATTATATGTATGTATCACATTTCATTTATCTGTTCATTTGTCAATAGATGATTTTATTGTCTTTTGTTTTTGAGATAGAGTCTCACTAGGGTAGCCCTGGTTGGCCTGGAACTCACCATGCAGACCAGGCTAGCTTCTCAAACTTGGAGCAATCCTCCTGCCTCTGCCTCCCAAGTACCAGGACTATTGGCATGAGAGACAATACCCAGCTTGTCTTCTTTGTGTTACTTTTGAAGAACAGAATTTTTTTTAAGTTTGATAAATTTTAATTTTTTTTTTCTGTTGTGGTTTGTGCCTTTAGTGTCATTCTAAGAACTCACTGTGTAATCCACAGTCACAGAGATATTTTCCTGGCAGTTCTCATTTAAAATTTTACCTTAAATCTGATCCATTTTGATTTTTTTTAAAGACAAGATCCCCCTGTAGCCCCAGCTGGTCTGGAACTCACTATGTAAACCAGGCTGGCCTCCCAAGTGCTGGGATTAAAGGTGGGCACCACCATGCCCAGCATTTTGAATTATTTTTGTATATCGTGTGAGATTTGGGTTTGTCTGTCTCCTTGAGAAAGAGTTTATTTCTTCTCCATTTTTTTTTTCTTTTCTCCTTTTTAGTATGACTGTCCAATGGTTCCAGGACCATTTGCTGAAACAACCTTTGTTGGCAGCCAGTTGACCATGTCTTTTCTCAGATGTGGTTGATGTTATATTGATCTATATATCTATACTTATACTAGCACCCCACTATTTTGATTTCTATAGAGCTTAATTACTGAAGTGCTTTGTTCTTTTAAAAATTACTTTGCTATAATAGACCTTTGTATTTTCCATTTAAAATTTTAGAATTAACTTGCTGATATCTATGGAAAAGAATCTGGTAGGATTTGTTGAGCTCGAGTGTGGAGTCTGTAGATCAATTTGGGGAAGGTTGAAATCCCAATATTTCTCTCCATTTATTTAGGCATTTTGCCTGCACTCCTTTTTATGTATACTCTGGCTTTGTGGGAAAACTGTAGGAGAGGGGAACAAACATTCTCTGACCACCTCCTTTGGGTCAGACACTTTTCATGTCTTATCTCAGTGTTTCAGACAGCACAGGATGTCCTGTGGTTTGCCTTAAGTAGCATTAAGTCACATGATTAGAAAGTTCTTCCCTTTTAAATTCTCATTCAACCTCATTATGTCAAGGAGAAGTTCCCAGAGTGATGCTGGTGTGTCCTGAACACTGATCTAGCACTTCCTAATCTTTCCAAAAAGATTCCTAATCCTTTCCAACAGAAAGGGAACCTCAGGCTCAAAATCTTTGGCAGGTACTGATATCTTGCTAGAATTTTCTAATATGATTTTGTTTTCATTGTATTTCTTCTTCTTTTTTTTTTTTTTTTCCTGAGACAGGGTCTCACTGTAGTCCTGGCTGGCCTGGCCTGGAACTCCCTATGTAGACCAGGCTGGCCTCGAACTCACAGAGATCTGCCTGCCCCTGCCTTCTGAGTGCTGGGATTAAAGACATGTACTACCACATCCAGTCTTCATTGTTTAATTTTTCTTTTTCTTTTTTAAAAATTATTTTTATTTTATGTGTATGAGTGTATTGCCTATTGCCTGCATGCCTATTGCCTGCACCTGTGTTGTGTAATGCCCGTGGAGGCCAAAAGACGGTGCCAGATTCCTCTGGAACTGGAGTTACAGATGGTTGTTAGCCTACATGTAGGTACTGGGAATAGAACCCAGGTCCTCTGCAAGAGCAGCCAGTGCTCTTAATCACTGAGTCATCTCTCTCTAACCCTCATTGTTTGATTTTTAACTTGCCTTCTAATTATAGCAGCTGATACTGGTTTCTCTTAGCGATTGTGATATAAAGTTAGACTCTGCAGTATCGTTTACTTTCAGTGAACATGTTCTATGAGCTTTGACTAATGTACAGTAAATTCCAACCTAATCAAGATAAAGGACATTTCTGTTATCTCGAGAAGGTCCCCTTTGCATCTGTTGTCAATTCCTTTCGCACCCTAAGTCCTTGTTAACCACTGATCTGGTTCCTGTCCCTGTTGTTTTTTTTTTTTTTTTTTCCTTTTCCAGAATGTCATATAAATGGAAAATTACAGCATTTTCTCTTTGGAGCCTGGCTTCTTCCACTTAGAATAATATATTCAAACTTTACCTGTATTTGCCTGTGTTAAATGCTTTGTTCCTTTTTGTTGCTGAGTAGCATTTCATTGAAAAGATGTGCCGTGATTTGTCCATTTACTAACTGAAGGATATTTGTGCTTCCAATTTGGGGCAATTATGAGAGCAGAGTCAGTATATATATATATATATATGGGTTTGGTGAGAACATAAGTTTTCATTTCTCTAAGAATATGGTTGTTTGGTCAAATGGGAAGTATGGTATATGTTTGAATTTATAGGAAGTTATAGGAAGCTTCTAAAGTGGCTCTACATCCTTTTACTTTCTCAACAATATGAGTTCCAAGTTGTTCTATGTCTCACATTTCTTTTTAAAAATTTTAAGCTGATTTTAAAAATGATAACAGCTTAGGTAGTTTGCCTTAGGTAGTTTGTAAGTATGAACGTTGTATGTGGGTATGCAAAAATGATCATTTCTTACTCCTTTGATATTAATATAGTCCCATTTTATAGGCCAAGAAGATGAGGATCAGAAAGAACAAAAGTCACAGAACCAGTAAATTTTCTGATTTCAAATCAGTTTTGTATGATTTTCATATTCATATAGGGTCTTATTTAAGTACTTAAACCAAATTTGAACTTTGAAACCTTTATAATGTAGAGTGCACCTGTTAAAAGTGCCCTTAAAGCTTTGCTAATAAGCTGTGACTTTAGCTCTCACAGGCTATACCTTCATCCTTTTAAGCTGAAAACCTGCTCTAACGCTTTCTGATGCCCCAGAGAATCGCTCGCTTTTTCAGCACTTGACACACATCTCTGTCATGTCACCTAGTGCTCTATTCATGTGTCAGTTCTTTTTCTCTGACTGTATGTTCCTCCTTGATGGGGACTGTGTTCTTTGTTTCTTTAGTGTGTAGCACAAGGCCTGCCACATGGGAGATGTTCAGTCATTGTTGAAAGATTGGCAGGTGCTTGACTGTAACTGCACAATCCAGCTGTGTAGTATTCATTTCCTAAAATCTAGCAAAAGTGCTCTTAATTAATAAAAAGCTGTGGACTGAGCCTTCCTGTCTTGTGGGCTCTGTACTAGGCATTCTGACTGGTGTACACAAGGATTAGTATTTGCAATAATTCTGACTCCATTTAGATTAGACCGTCCTAAGGTGATTTTAGGAAGCACACACACTCACACAGTATGCACACATATGTATACATAAGTATACACCAAGAGAAATAATCATAACATAGTATAGAAGAGGGTACATGGAAAAAAATGTACCATGTTAGTTCAAG